CCTGAACCGATTTCAGAAATTTAAAATCCATTTGATGTATCTCGATCGTTTCGAGTTTTATTATCGTTTGTTAAACTTTTTGTCCACATTTTAGCTCATACTACCGAATCGATTTTAAAAAATGAAAAAACTGTTCGGAAGATATTAGTTGGGAATGATACTGATTAGTTTTAGGTGAAAATCTTCAGAGCCGTTTCCTTGCAATTAACTATTGAAAAATAAATTTAAGCCGATTTTTATGGAACTTTTTTGGCAATATATATCATGGTCTTATAGAACTTACTGAAATATTACAGCTTTACGACAAGTAGTTTAATTTCAAAAATTCATCAAAGTTTGAGAAAATGAGTAGTTTTTTTACGTTTGTTAAAATTAAAATTAGACGATTTACTTGGCATAACGATAGAGAACCTGGTCGTAATGAACATACTAAACCTACTACGGAAACTGGTTCAATTGTTGATTTTTGAGAATTTGCTTTTAGGAAATACTCCGAGTTAACGTGTTCGTTCGTTTTCAAATATGTGTAATAAATTCACTTGGAATACTTATAATCACTCATAAATTAATTTATTTTTTATTAATTAAGTCGATTATATACACATATTGGGAAGTTCATGTAACTTGCCTCAAGGCAAAATACCAATACCAACTAGTTTTTCTTTAATGTTTGTCCTTTTATATTTCGTTAAATTTTATCAAATTATCTTGTATTACATTTTGATTGCAATTTGACAATATTGGATACGTACGTATATATAATATTACTATTTCCCTTAAATTCAACCCTGTGCCCGTTCCCGTTTTCGGTTCACGGCGCAATCGCAGACGTCCGCCGTCGGCCATTTGCCTCATTGTTTATTCCCGTTTCAGTGTGAGTTACCGCCTCGGTCCCGCCGGTCTGTGGTGTCCCGCACGTCGAAATTCATTTTGCCAAATCAAATTTCAAAAAAAAAATATGCCAAAATGTCAGGTGCCAGAAAATTTCAAGTGCTTCCTGAAACGTGGACAATTTAATATGGTGAAAATTCAATAGAAAATTTGTGATTTCGAGTGACTGAAAATTGGATTTTGTTAACGCGAACATGTGCCGTGAGGGAAGATTGAGGTTAGGCGGGCTGCTGCGGGTTGCAGGATTCTGCTTAATTTTCGGTTAGTGGATAATGATAATAAATGTCAATATTTAAAATAAATTTATACGTTATATATACTTTAATTTTACGTTTAAAATCATATTTACTGGTTTTAGAAAATCATGCAATTACGTTTACTATTAGTTGCATATTAGGACAATTTGACTTTATATAAATCAAAATTAGTAGGACCATATAAACTATATCATTTTTAGCATGTATATATTGGTTTGTGTATGAAGACCATTTTTACTATTTTACAGTCATTTTTTGCATCAAATCATTTAAATACTGTTTACTTTTACACCTAATTGTTCAATGTAATTACTTTCATCAGAGAAAAAATTCGTTGAACTGAAATTCGACTTATTACTTAGGCTCTGGGATGAAAGATTAATTCTAGATTTTTCTGTTGACTTCGCTAAATTATTTAGCTACTTACAATATTATTGTTTTCTATATAAACCTACAAATAATCCTAAAAATCCTTATGGTATCGTAATCCTTAGTTTTAAAAATGATTGTATGCATCTTAGAATTAATTTCAGGAATCCTAAACATGATTAAGTTTATTTCTAACAAATTACATTATTTACTCAATTTCATTAGTTCGGTTGTTTTTCTCTCAACTAAACAGTTATTTTGAACAGACATTTACACAGATAGTTGTAAAAAATCTAAATTTTGTTCCTGAAAAATTCAATAGACTTCCAAATGTTTCGAGTTCTAATTTAGCTCTTCTTCAGTGAACTTAACCATTTTTTTTTTAATTTCTTTGCGATTCTTAGTTTTCTTGAACCTAGTCATATGAAAAAGAGTCAAACTGGTATTCAAAATTCTTGTTTTATTTTTATTATATTAATTGACAATTTTAGTATGCATTAAATTTAAATTGTCATTTTTTGCTGCTGTTCTCATTAGAAAACGACAATTTTCGGTGCGGTCTTCAAGGTGTTAAACAGTCTTTTAGTTTTTATTTATATATTTTTTGCACACCTAAATAAATGTGTATAGGCTCATATATATGTACGTAATAATAAACAATAGTCTGTGCGAAGACAGACAGATAAACATTTCTAATTAATAATTTCTTACTTTTTATTTAGTAAATTCAAATGATGAAAAATTAATACATTTGCTTATATTCATGTAAATTACTTTTATAAGATGGACAAACAAATGTAAAAATATAAAATTATGATACCTACTAAATAAAAATTAATTAGTTAAGTAACTTATTGAGTTAGCGCTTAATAATAGTGCAGATGTCGTTCTGCGATTATATCAGTCAAATTTAGGTGTTTTAATCATTTACTCAATTAACACGTTGATCGCCATGTCAGTCATATGTGTCTGACGCTGAGAGTGACCTGAAAATTCTTTGGCATGTCGAAAATAAAAATTTTAGAATATGGTCATGTGAGTCATATGAGTTAAAAAATTGGTATGTTAAGTTTTCTTAATACATTTTTAACTAACTTATCTAGTAAAGTTACCATGGCCCATATGATTTTTTTCTATTTTTATTGTGGCAATTAACGTGTTAAAGAAATAATGGAATAGGAACTACAGCAACAAAACTCGAATCATCTAAAATAGGTTTTCATTGATGTTCCAAAATTT